CACAAGTGAAAATTACTCTATTGGATCTGAGTTCTGCTTTGGTATGGTTGATGTTTACCTATGTTCTTTCTCCTTTTTGTGTAATCTCTCACCCTAAAACCCCACAATTATTGCTGCAGAAGAGCAAACATCTTCCCAGAAATAAAATTCTATTAGCAAGCTTCAAGAATTTGAAGTGGCAGGTTGTCAGAGCCTAGTGCAATCAGATATTTTGGGCTGTTTTCCAAAGCACTTGAAGTTCACTCATAATGGGATGAAAAATTATTTGTAAGAGGTGATATCACAGAACAGTGAAAGGAAAAAAAGGTCATCTGCAATGGTGATAATCTTTATTTCTAAACCAGTCTGTTAATTTGTATTACACTCTCTTAAAAATAAAAGGAAGTATTTTAACTAAAGAAATACCCTTAGAGACATAGTTTCAACTGAGATGTTAAAAACAGGAGATTATAAAGAAAAAAAAAAAAGAGAAAATTAAGATTTTGAAATTTTGTCAGTTTTTCCCCTACATGTTTGAGTAGCTATTTCATTTAAACTGCTACTGGGTTTGTTTTCCTTACCTGTGCCAGGAATCATAATTCAAAAATGTATTTGAAATCCATGGGCGCTGCATTGATGGGGAGGCAAATTATTTGGAGCAATATTGTGCATGTAATAATATAAAATACAAGAAATAATGCTGATATATAATTATATATAATATAATCATATTTATATTTATAGTTACATACATTTTTTTCATATTGTATAGAACATCTAGGGTAACTGTGACTTAAAACCAATAAAAGTCTGGACCTTACATACAGTGGTTCCTGTTACTGCAAGCCTAATACCAACTATAAAATAAATAATATTTATTTAATAATAAATAACAATAAAATAAAGGCCATATGATAGCTTGATGTTCAACAGTACAAGCATGTGGTAAAGCACATCTGATTGATTATGTCAGTGATTGTGAGCTATTTATGGCCCAATGGCTCCAAGGGACACAAGTGGTTGCATAAGCTAGAAATTGTTTATGCCCTCCCTGGGAATTACAATTACTGCACACTGCAATGTTAACATACAAAATTTGGTTTTGGAGAAGAATATGCGCTGCCATCAGGGTGCTTTTTCCAACACAAGTGTGTGTGTGTGTTGTTAAGAGTGAAGATGCTGAATGTTAAGTAGTTGTCCCAAGACCCCAGCAAGTATTTTTTTCCACCTGACAGTTCCTGAATGCTGCTGTAAAGTGAAGAAAGATTGTTTCCACATAAAAGTATTTTAACTCTTACACAGCAGAAAACGTACTAATTCCAATACCGCATGTCCTTCTTTATTACCTATGTTTTCAAATCGTATATAATTCCATTTCATATCTAAAGTTTTCATCTTATTCTTTTTTCACTTACAAATTTGAATACCAGTTGTGTACCCGAAGCCACATAAAAAAATTTCAGTCAGCACTTTCTTAATTGTCCTGTTTCTCTCTCATGTCACATGGTTATTACATATCACACCAAGAGTGTCATCAGGGATCATGCCCAGGATTTTGGCCAACACTGCTTTTCCTCTAAGATACTAAAAAATTGTTAGAAAATATTGTCTTTCTCGAAATGAAGGATGGACATGCTTGAAAAACTTCACAAATCAAATGCTATTCTTGCATCATCTCTTTCATACAATTTTACTGAATCCTTTCTCATTCCTCATTTAGTTTATTATTTCTGCTTTGACTCCTTAGTATATTTGCATTTATTTCACACCTTGCCTCCTTTCCCTTTTTTGCACTTTTGCTCTGCAATCTGCTGTCCCCAATCCCCCAAACCTTCACCTTTAAAGTCCAAGATGCAGCTGTGATCACCCCTTCATTTTAACTAGGCCTTCTAAAGATCCTTCTGGGTCCAGTGATCCCCTTTTCCCCTCTTTTCCTCCTCCCTGCAGCCTGAAAGAGAGCAGCAATGCACTCATCACTGAAAAACACTGCAAGCTTGAGGTCCTGCAGCACCAACCTCTTGGAGGCAGAAGAATGATGACACCACTCGTAGCTCGGAGTCGTATCACTTCTCTCCTTCATCTTCTGAGCAGGAATATTGCAGAGGGAGATAATGCCATGGCAACACAGAGAGGTTTGTCTCCACCTGACTTTGTGGGCAAGAAATGCCATGGGGCGGACATCCAACAGGAAAGAGCTTGCTGGACAAGTCACCAGCAGGTGATCACCCCCAAAAAAAGGACATCTAAGTATGGTGTGACATGGCAATGTGTGATAGCCCACTTAGAGAAGCAATACTACATAAGGACATACTGTACAAAACCAGTTTGCTTTTTACAATGAACATTTCAGTATCTTCACCACCCTGAAAATCAGCTGACACTTTACAGGAGCCGAAATGAAGCCCGTGGTGCCCCAATCGACCTCTCCGCAGCACTGAAGGCAAGCAGCCGAGAACAACGGGGAGTAAGGTATCACAGGAAGAAAAGGATGTTGCAAAAAGGACTTTGAAACTTATTCTGAAAAAATGCAGCAGAAAAATTGAACCTACAGTTTGGAGGGACTTGTTACGGGCTAAAGACTGTGGTTCAACTTTGACTAATGCAATGTTTCTCACCCTCAGACATGGGACGCTTTAGGGGCTGCTTTGTGGGACCAAGGTGATCAAGGGCTGCTTTGTGGGACCAAGGTGATCAAGAAATACCTGAAAACCTGAGAAAGAACTCTTGTGCCACCTTGACAACCCTTCTGCACCCTCAGTGAGTGAAATATAAGGTTCTGATCGTAAGCTTGGCAAGGCTGTGGGAGGAGAACCAGAGCCCCTGGTCCCCTGATCCATTTGATCCAGAGGGGGAGCCTGATCTTTTCCTCCTCCCTATCTGCATGAGCTGTGGACAGCAGTGAGAAAACAATCTGCCACAGAGGGGAATTCTTATTTACTGCACACTTTTCTGGCCATTCACCAGCCCAATCAACCACCTAGGATGGGAAGGCTTGCCATAAAAGAGCTGCGTTGCTCTGCCTTAGACAATGGCATCACTGCCCCTCTCATTATTGGAAACCGAGGTGAGCTCATATGATCTGGCACCTCAAGACCTTAAGCAAACCGTGCCACTTATGCTGACAGGTACACAATTCACTGTCTGGATGTCAGAACGGAGAGAGCTTTGCGCTATTCAAGCTGCTGACAATTTACAGCAACCCCAAGGGCACATCCTGTGACCTATAGGTGTTGAAGCACTTATGGGAGAGGGAAAACACGTGCCTATTCCTAGACAGGCTCAGCTGCCTGCTGAAGCCCTTTGACAGAAGAAGGAGCTCACTTGTGGGCTTTTTGTAAAGTGACAGATGCTGGTCTCACTGTGTTTGTTTATGTAAGATTGGTACAAGGAACAACACCTCTCTCATCCCATTGGTGGCACGAGATAAAAAAAACTCTCAGGACATCTGTGTCATTGTTTTGAGAGCTAAAATCTTATTTATACAACAGTCATTGAGGGAGAAAAGTTTCCCTGAAGACTTTCCCTTGGGAAACAGACCAGCCAATGAGAGCCCCAAACTCTCTCAGGCTCAGAAAATCACGTCCACACTCTCCCATTTTTGTTATTGAGAAAATGAGTGGAAAACGGCAACTCCTGCATGATGATCTTAGGAAAATCACTTCTCCATCTTCTCAGAAGGAATATCTCATCCTCTAACCATGAAAATTGTGGACACAGTCTGGACTGTAAGTGCAAATTTTGCATTAAGTGCAGATTCACTGCATCAGAAAAAGACTTTTCTACGCAACAGCTGGGTAAGTCGTGTTATGTATTTTCACACCTAATCATTTCTGGATCAAATAATTTGGCATTACTGGAAAAGTAAAAGATACTGAAAAGCTACAGAAGTAGATGACACTCTGACTCTTAACATACATGTGTATTTTGTGCTTAAATAACTCTTTTTCTCAGTAGAGAGTGTTCAGTACTCCTTTTCAGGACTTGTGCTCTTCCTTCTCAAGCTTTATTACTTCCCAGTGTCACTTATGTATGCTCAGAATCTTTTGTGGAGGTACATAAGTGCCTTGAGCTGCTGACATGGGACAACAAAATCCCCTTTGGAGTTCTGCTCAGTGTCTAGAATTCAGAT